CGCCTGTAATTTTCTTTCTTCCTGTGTGCATTTTCTTTCTCTTTTGCTCTCACTTCAGGGAGATTTGCTCTTCTTTATTTTATAACTCTTCTATTGAATTTTTTATTTTTATTATCATATTTCGAATTTCCACAAGGCCTTATGTGTTCTCTGAATGCTCCTTTTTCTAATGTCATATTCTTATTTGATAGTTATATATCTTACCTCTGAGGATATTAATCAGAGGGTATTTCACATTTTTTTCAACCTGCACAGTCTCTCTTTCCTTTAAGATGCTTTTTCCTACTCATTTTTGTCTCTATATTTCATGTGAGAGGCGTTCCTTAGTGTCAGGCACACCCTATCTGGTCATATTTAAGAACAGAGCTAAAAAGCTAATCGGAGGTGCTAAACCTAGAGGGTTATCGACTGGAGGCTCCGCTAAGTGCTCTGGCTGGGCTGTTTGGTTGGAGGAACCCCACAGTAGTGCCTTTAAGTTTTTCCTGTTGGGGAGATCAAATTCCCCAGACAGGACTCTTCTAGGTGCCCAAAGGATTTAACTCTGGCTGCCTGGATTGTGGGAGCCCCCTGGGAAAGAGCGGTGGGTCTCAGTGTCTGCCCACTTAATCTCCCAGTTTCCTGTACAGCCCGAGACGGGAGGGGTCTGGATGTTGAATTGCTTCCTAAATTGACTTTGAACCACTTCTGGTTTTAGCGTGCTCCACCTCAGTTCCAGAGCTACCTGTTGCCACCAGTTCCTAAGCCTTTGTGGGATTCTGGTTGGTTTCTCAAATTTCCTCATTGCTGACTTGGGATTCAGTCTTCCTGTGTCTGCTGCATCACTGCCCACACTTCTTACCTTCCAGTTTTCAAAATTTTGTTGCTACAGGGAGTTAAAAAAAAATTGTCACAATTATTTCTTTCCTTTTCTCAGAAGAGAGAAAAAGAAGAGAGAGAGAGAGAGAGAGAGAGTGTGTTCTATCTTCTATCTTTACCTGGAAGTGGGGAGATTTACTTTTCACTGTTTACTTTTTCCTGTTGTTTTAATTTTTAATCAATATTTGGCTATGAATTGTTAATTATTATGAATCATTTTGCTTTTTAAGTTAAGACAATCTAGTTGATTTTTTTCAAAGCACCTGTAAGCGTATGGCACGTAAGAACCGTGGAATAATCATCAGCCTTTAATGCTTCGAGTGCTTCCCAGATGCTGATCTCTGGAGTAGCTGCATGTCCGTGCGTGTGTCTTTACAAAGGAGACAGCTGCAGCCAACCTGGGCAAGATAGTATGCCCACACATGATGACACAAGACCAACAGAAAATAATACACCTATAAGCAGGAAACGAAGTAGGTCACGATGAATCATTGTCAATTGTGTGAAATTTCTCCCATCATTGTTACCTCGGCCCAGAGAAGAATTTTCAATTCAGCTGGACACAAGTTATCCCCATTCATAATGAATTTTCTAAAGCAGTTATCTATACATTTTTTGATTATACCCCCTTATAAGAAAAACATTTTAAGCACACCCTCAAATATGTAAATTTATTTATTTGCAAGTTCCACATGTCATATTAATACAGTATGAATACAAATAGAGATTAAAAGAATGTAATAGAAAATAAATAAAATCAGAAGTTCTAATATTTTCCTTCAGTACCCCATTGGGTCATCTTGCACACCATGAAATTCTCCACCAGGATGAGTGTGAGAACATTGAGGAAGATTTTTCAAAAGACTATTACCCAAGGCCTGGTGCCGTGGCTCACGCCTGTAATTGTAGCACTCTGGAGGTTGAGGCACTCTCGAGGTAAGGAGTTCGAGACCAGCCTGAGCAAGAGTGAGATCCCGTCTCTACTAAAAATAGAAAAATTAGCTGGTCATTGTGGCACATGCCTACAGTGCCAGCTACTTGGGAAGCTGAGGCAGGAGGATCACTTGAGCCCAGGAGTTTGAGGTTGCTATGAGGTATAATGATGCCACTGCACTCTACTTGGAGTGACAGAGTGAGACTCAAAAACAAAAAAGACTCCCACACAGACCCTACCCAGACATCTGACTTGGAACTGAGGGTGGGGTGCTGGCAAAGATATTTTGGAAAAGTTTCTCTGCTGACTCCCATGTGCACCTCTGGTTTAAAAACACAGTTCTAAAGATTTAAGAATTAGAGCTCTCTACAAAACTGCAAATAGTAGCCAAATTGCTACTGAGTACAAAGAGTAGGCAATTAATACTGGGAAATGTATAGTTCAATTAAAGCCTGGTTCATCCTGTACCCCAGAAAACTTTGTCTCCTTCTTTCCTAAACTCCATATTTTCCTTCTTCAGTCTCTGTCCTTTCCTCTCAGTTTTTAATATAACTTTAACTTTACTATTATAAACAACAGACATTCATTATAGAAAATATAAATAAGGAAAAAGAAGAAAATAAAAACTAAGGTATAATTCTACCACTCTAAGATAATTAAGATTTTTGTCCATAGCCTTCAATATATTCATACAAACATATATTTAAAAGGGGGAATTGTAGATGCTGCTTGTAAGCTGACATTTTTTTTCACTCTGTAGTTATGTTTTTCTCCATGACAATAAGAATGCGAGCTGCGACAGGGCCAGGAACAGTGGTGAGAGCTGATCTGCAATCAAAGAGCAGGTGACCTGAGTCCTGGGGAACTGCCATCCCCTCCCTAATACTCTCTTCCCTCCACCTTCTAATCTTCCCTCACTTCGTGTCTCTTCCCGTGTTTGCTTTCTCCGTGCTCTTTCTCTTTCTCTTTTCTTTCACCTTCTACCCTCATTTCTGTCTACGAAAGCACCCGAGGCCTCCAGGACAAGGATTAATATTTGACAGAATCAAACTTCCTGCTAATTTGACAAGCGGTGCGTGACCGGGAGCTGGAGAAACAGCTGCACCCTGCTCTGCAGTGGGGATTTCTGAGCAAGCCCGGGCAAGGGCCCTCTGTTCTTGATGACGAGCTGTTATTTCCACTTGGGAGCCCACATTACAGTTGCTTATTTGCCTTAGAAGCAAGGTCTGGCCGGAGGCAGCCGGGGAACCCAGGCTGACAGAGAAAAGCCATTTCAGGGAAATTGTGTCTCTGGAATTGAAATCAAGGGAGACAGAACTCCCTCGGTAGTTGATAGTTGACAAGAGGCAAGGGCTGAGAAGGAGCCAGGCGTGAAAATCCAGAACAAACCAGCTGTGGTGCTTCCCCATGGTGTCATAAACCCGGTCACAGAAAACCAGTTCCTCTTGCTCTAGGTGGCAAGAACCTTCTGCACGCTCAACCTGCTGACAGAGGCGTTTCCATCGGCAGTTATTAATATGAAGCCGTTGGTAGTGAGGAACCTTTCTGAACTCTGAAAACTTTTTTGGGCTGGCTGGTGTGAAAGAAAGTAAGCACTTTCCACCACGCTGTAGCCAAACTGTTGTTTTGCAGAGGCTGTGGGAAATTATTGTTTTCATTAAATGCAAATCACTGCCCCCAAACCAACGATATTCTTGGGGATGAAATTGTCATTGGCTTTATTAACTATGAGTGTCTACATTAGCCAGCTCTCCAAAGGCACTCTACTGCGGAAGATTCTGGAAAATGAGCAGAAAGTGACTCATTCTTCACTGTCACCCCCAACAACAAAAAGCCCCCAGCAGCAAAACACCCCCCTGCAGGAGTGGCAGCTTGCCAGTTATCCTTGGAGTGGGGGTGGAGCACGTGGGCCATGTAGATGCTTCAGGAGGACAGTAATTAAGGGCTTGAACAGGGGTGTTAGTCACAGTGGGTGGGACCCTCCCTGTCATCCTTCAGAGCAGCAGCCAGAGAAGCTGGTGATAGCTGAAAAGAGGGAGGGGCCCCTAGACAACCCCTCCCTTTCCCAGCAGCTGCTACTTAATAAAGCAGCACTTAGCATTGTGTACAAGGTCAGAAAGGAGGGGAGAAATAGCAAAAAAATAATTTCATATAAAAATGTCCAGAAAGGATCTCTTAAGGAAGAGCATCTCTGGCCTATGGCAGAGCTGAAACTTAAAAAAAAAAAAAATTGTTTATGAAAGACTGGAAAATTCTCCCCTCCCCCCAGAGAAACAAATCTCTACTTGTAGTGGCACCTGAAGTCCCACCGTTAGTGACTCATTCCTTTGTATACTGCAGGTGATCTGGCATTTAAGAGCCCTATATCAAAATACAAATACTTATGAAGGCAGCCAATGATTTTCAGTAGTATCAGCATCCTTGGAGTGACTTCAGACACAGATTCCTGGCACCCACAAGCATACTCCATTCCCCCAACCCTCACTACAACCATGACCTTTAGCCAACAGGTGGGTTCTCCACTTCTCTGGCTTCTGATGGGACCTTGGTGTAATTATCTTTAGTTCCTGCTTTTGCAGGATAAGAAATGATTTCCACTGTGGCCATGGTTAGGCTGCCTCAATGAGAATGAACCCTTTATATTTAAGGCTGAAAGCAATCCTATAGGGTTGGGACAATGCACAGTGTGCCTCTCTCCTACCAGCTGGCCGCCTTTCCCCACCTCAACACACAGAGGAGAAATCCAGTGAAAATTAACACCAAGGACCCCAAAAAGGGTAAAGAAGCTACTACAAGGCCAAGAAAGCAGAGAGTGTGGACAGAAGGAGGAGGAAAGCCATTCTAGCTTCTCTGGGTGTTTGGGAGTAGTTTGGGGGACAAAGTTACTGTTATTTTCAAGCTCCGCTGGCCAAGCCCTCTCTCCCCTGGGTGGGGTGTCTCCATGAGCTAGCCACCCAGCAGGCAGCCTGTCCCACCTCCCAGCTCCACTCAGCTGCTCAGCACCCCATTCGGTGGAGAAGGTGCAACCCATGATGAACACGCTGCCCAGGCCACCTGCTTCCCTGGACCAAGAAGCACTAGTCTGCTGGCCCTAGACCATTTCTGGAGACCAGCATGTGACAGAGCCACAACCTCCGGTCACTCTGTCAGTTATCTACAGTTCCTCCTTTTTTCTTTCCCTTCTCTTACCTCATAAACGATGACCATTAGATAGGTTCCCCCTATCTACAGATTCTAATGCCAAGATTAGCTTTGCTCAAAAGGAAATTCTCCAAAACAGTGGCCACAATGTTTTATTTTATGGGTAGGAACTTTACTTTCTCTCATACAAAATTTTTATTATAACTTCACTATGCCCATGTCTGCTCTGTGTAGTTATGGTTAGTAGCAAAATTGATGTTACCCAAGACATAGACAAGGAACTTCCTGATAAAAGAGGAACTAACCAAGCAGTTGGAAGCAGAGGCCCCCAAGAAGATCTTGGCTCTGTATTTGATTCCTTCTCAAATTTGTATGATTCCCCACCCCTAAAAAAAGAACAATAAGAATAACAAAATCAACTAATTGTGCAACTCAGTTTCCCAGCTGCTGTAAGAACATTTGAGTTCACTGTCTCACCCTCGCCACACACACAATTCTTAATAAGAAAAGAAAACAAGCATAGCCACCCATTGTGTTAAGCAGTGAGCCCTATGCCTCCACTCTCACTTCTCAAGACAGGAGAAGTTTCAATGTAGAAATGGCAGATAGCAATCCTGGCAGCTTTCTCTTCTATAAGTTAATGTCTAAAAATTAGAATTTCAAAACAATGGAGGAAAATAGGGATATTACAATATATAATATGGAGGCAACCATGTAGTCTCATGGGAAAAAACCAGCACAAAACCCAGATGAAGCAAAGATTTGAATGTAAAAGTGAAATATTTTAGCATAAAGCTACTAGAGGAAAAAAAAATGGGTTAAAATTTTTGGCAGTTTTTGGAGTAAGGAAGACCTTTCTAAGTATTACAAAAAAACCAAAAACCCATATAAGGAAAGTCTGATAGATTCAACTATCTGAATTTTTTTTTTTT